AGACCTCTATCAAACGGTATCGAAAAATATTTAGACGTATCTTTCTCCACTTGAAAAGTCGAATTTTCAGAAATCATTAACCTATACCTACGTTTTCTAATTAATTTATCAACTAGTGAAGGAGAATATCCATTACACTCAGCTACATTCCTAATGTAATCTCTTTCTATTTCATATCTTTCGTTGGAAAGTGGGAAACTAAGTAATCTATGAACTAAGAAATTTAAACTAGCCATTTTATGTTCAACACTATGATGTGATTCATTAGGAATATATCTGCGTGTGGTCGTATTTTTCTACATAATCTTTATAAAAATTTAAAAAAAATGAGAAAAGTAATAAAAATTTAGTAAAATCGCGCTGTTTTCATCCTATAATGGCTTGGTCTACTTCAACACAACAAGCTTGGTCTACTACCGTTGTAAAAAAATAGGATAAGCATGTAAGGATTCTACCATATTGTTGCGGACCCGTACCGTGTGAACTCGGCCTTAGGCTTGGCCGATTTTTAATTGTGTTTAAATAAATTGTGACTTTCTATCCACACGGAACCGACAAAAAACGTAACAATATCTTCTAAGAATTATAAGTTTAATTTTTAAATTATTTTTATATTCATTAAGTCCAAAATGCTGTTACTTCAGTTCTTTAAAAATGCATTAAAAATGTATTCGTTTTTGGACTTATTTTGGACGTATGTTTTGCTTCTAGACCGACGACGATATTATAATATATGGTTGTGAATATCATATTTTTTAAATTTATTTGATTATTTTTAAACCTGTTTAGGTAATATTCAATTCCATTTTCAAAATTTTAAAAAATAAAGGTTGCTATCTCCAGAAATATAATTTTATTTCTTATTTCTGCAAGACGAATATCTGCTATCTCCCTATTGTGTCTGAAAAAAATTAAGTAACACGAAATATTCAGTTTTATTGTTCCCCAGCAAATAAAATGCTTATTTCTTTATCATATTAATGCATGAAAATACGTCCAATGTACATATTTTTTTGTACATATGTACATATGTACATATGTACATATTTTTTTGTACCGTTTTTTTGCTCTCCTGTAAAATTAGGAATAATGGAGTTAGCAGTTTATCATATTTCACCGACGATATGCAACTTTTTAATGGTACCATAATCTCATTGGACTTAAAAAAAGTTCCAACTATAATTAACGGCATAATATATCCAGTATGCTGTATGCATTCTGTACTAAGATAAGTTGGAGGGTGAAAAGTCCGAACCGGTACAGATCACCTCGTCCCGGCTTAAATCAATTTAACTTGGAGGATTTAATTAGAGAAACAGTAAGATCAAACGTTCGATTATTTATGACAAGGAACGTACCTGATATACAGGGCTCCTAGAATAGAAAACTTGAAAATTTTGTATAAGTGCATGCAAACCTAAAGTGTTGCCAAACCAGAATGTATTTCCGGAAAATATACCTTTTACATATACACCCTTTTACATATACACACTTTTACTTCTATAGGTTGGCCCAAAATAATATGAGTGGATCTGGATGATTTTTTTTTAATGGAACACCCTGTATATTATTGCCTTTTTGGCTTCCTTTCAGATCACTTTACATAATCCTAAGGTATAAGTAAATCTATTTCGATAGTTACAGAGATATTAAAAAATAAATCAAAAATATGTATTTTTCAACAACTCTTCTTAAAAAAATATTAAAAATACAGGAACTGTTCTGGAATCAAAGCTATATTAGGTATTTACTGTAGATGGTCTGTTCTTACTTTGCTGTAAATATGGTAATCGTAAATCATACAGGATGTTCAATATTCTACACCAAACTCTCAAAAATATAAAATAATTTTTCTTCGTTTTTTTAAACGGAGCACATTGTATATTATTTTTTTATTAAATGGAGAATTAAATAATGAACATTTTTTGTATTTAAAGTATTTCAAAATTTTTAATAATCTTCCGGATACACGCAATATTCTTTCATATGGCGCTTTTAATGGTAAAATACGAGAGAAAACTCATTAGGCGGCTTTAATAAAAATTTACTGTGGAAAATGCCATATGAAATACTAAACCGGGAATATCTGCGAAACCGTTAAAAATTTTGAAATACTCTAAATACAAAAAATGTTCATTTTTTAATTCTCCATCTATTGAAAGAATAATATACAAGGTGTTTCATTAAAAAAAACGAACAAAAATTTTATATTTTAGAAAGTTTGGCGTAGAATTTTGAACATCCTGTATGATTTACGATTTCCATATTTATAGCAAAGTAAGTACGGACCATCTAAAGTAAATACCTAATATAGTTTTGATTTCAGGACAGTTCTTGTATTATTAATATTTTTTTTAAGAAAGGCTGAAAAATATATAAATTTTATTTATTTATTAATATCTCTGAAATTATCGAAATATATTTATTCATGTCTTAGGATTATGGAAAGTGATCTGAAAGGAAGCCAACAATGCAATAATATACAGGGTGTTCCATTTAAAAAAAATAATCCCAATCCAGTCACACTTTTTTGAGCCACCCTATAGAAGTTAAAATATATTCCTGAAATACATCCTAGTACATACTTTAGGTTTGCACTTAAACAAAATTCCCAAGTTTTATATTCTAGGAGCCGTCTGTAGCTCCTAGAATATAAAACTTGGGAATTTTGTTTAAGTGCACTAGTAAAAAGGCTTTTCAATTCGTTACTTTTTGACTGTTGTTCGTATACCTAAAATAAATTGTTTTTAAGTTATTTAAGATTTAGTTTTAAAGCGTATATTTTCCTCGATTTTAACCAGTAGCCTATGGCTTTAAACGTCAAGTGATGTAAAACAATAGATCTGGCTACGTCATATTGTGACACTTTGTTCAAAAAGCAGTATGTTATCGATCATCATTTCCAAGCCAACTTTGCGCTGTTTTTTTTTTTTTGATCATACGGTATATTATTAATAATATCAACTATTAGATATCACTAAAGAGCGAAAATACGAGATATATTTTTGTAAATACACGTTTGAAACTCTTAAGAAGACAGTATATTTATCATATAGAAAATTCAAATAATTTGTTTTTTGACAGATGGAAATAAATTGTCTGACTGTTTGACACTTAATCTCAAAAGAAGCTAGATAAAACCCTTATAAAACCAAAAAAAATATACGTTTTCCAACTAAATCTTAAACAACTTAAAAACGATTTATTTTTTAACATCTATACTCAAAAAGTAACAAATTAGAAAACATTTTCACTAGTGAAATAAAAAAGTGGGTTTCCATTTGAAAAAAAAATATTTATGATAATTTTTTAATCGCTCAATTCCATGACAGCTGCCATTATTATATGACATTAGAACAATTTAATTTTTGAAACAGATAGCCACACATCTTCTCTTTGTCACAGTGGCTGTGGTAATAACTAAATTTGACTTTTAGGTTATAGAAATTTTTTGACAGGTAGTTTTTTTCGTCCAAAAATTATAAATATCTTTTTTCTCAAAAACGGTTAATGTTAGGTATAGAGTGTTTAACATCAATATTCATAGAATTTTACAGATAATTTAAGTATGTAATAAAAAATGGGGGCACCCATTTAAAATAAGAAAGTAGTTTCCGGTATTTCCGGAAGTGCCTCCATATTAAAAATATTTTTAATCGATAGATCTCGTAAAACAATGATGTGCAAAAAATCTCCGATCTAAATGTTGTGGTTCTCTAGAAACTTCTAATGCACGCTCAGCCAGGGACACCCTGTATATAGGCTTTAAAAAACGAAATAAGTCGACACAAAAATGGAACAGAGATGATGAAAAAAGGTCTATTAAAAAGAAAATTATAATATCATGACAAAGTGTAAATGCTGCTCAGGTTTCTAAAAAGAAAACTGTTCATATTATCGATGTGTTTGAGGAGGTGTTATTTGTTGTTGATAAAGAGTTAAATAATCAGTGTAAAATTATCTTGAGGAGCATATCTAACTTGAAAGATTTATTTGAAATAAATAATAATATTGCCAAAGAAGCAAATTTGTCAGGAAATAAAGCCTCACCAAGTAAAAGGGACGAAAGAACTACAGAAAAGCCAATATTCCCCTCTAACGTGAGATAAGAGAGACATTGTGTATAAGAATATTCCACACCTCACAGAGAGAAAGAAAATCTGCTCTGAATGTGGGAATATGGAATACAAGTTAAATGATTGCTCAAAGAACGAAGCACTGCATTTGATTTAGTAACGATACGTTTAGAAGAAAAGCCTGTGCAATGGGTTGAACCGTTCACAGTGTATTGTTGTTTACTAGTAAATAGTTTGAGGAAGTATTTTCAAGCTATTTTAGATTCTAGGAGCTGATTGTTGTTAATACACGAGTTAATATCAGAGGATTTAATTTGAGTAAAAAGTAGCCACCATGTAGACTCACATCCACATGGTGGCTGTGAGTTATGGTTTATTATACCGGGTGCGTCTCAAAAGTGCCTCACCCCAATATTTTTTTTATTTTTTCAGAGTGTATGTTACTATATGACATAAAATAGGATTGATTGATGATTCAACTGTTTTGGCCACTTCCTGTTTCACCGGAAACGACTACAATTTTTGATTTTTAAATGGCACCCTCGGTATATTTCTACTTTATGCGATAGAAAATGACACTCTGAATAGAATGGCATTTCATACGTCAACTTTTGACATTTTAGCATATGGTTTATTTAAAATTGTAACATGCAGTTCATAACGACAACTTGACTCGAAATACCAAATATGTAGTACCAAACTATTCAGGGCAAAGAAAACGCAGACAAAACACGAAAAACATTAGATGATCAATCTATTTCTCCAAGGTTCCTTGATTAAAAATTACTGTTTTAGCACAGCCATGAAATTTAAAATTCAATTTTTTTAAAGCGAAAATTTATGATAATCTGAAATTTATAATAATCATTAGAAATAGAACACACAAACGGTATGTAAATGACTTTATTTTTTTTTACTTTTTAGGCCATTAACATGTCACCAAGTATTATCGGCAACACGCACAGCTTATTTTTGGCATCAGAGGCACACATTATTAATTCAAAGAATGCAGAAGGGAATGGGCTAAGCAATACCTTAAAGAGTAAAAATAAAAATATTAGAACGACAGATTATGGAGAAAACAGGACAAATGATTGGAACATCCAAATTGTCTGGCGTAATGTGGTTATTTTTATAATTCTTCACACGTTGGCATTATACTCAATTGGTCTAGTATTGTTTGGATTTTACAATTGGAAAACTCTTTTATTTAGTGAGTATTTTTTTAATATGTGTAAACAATGTTTCGTTTAAATTATATTTATAAAATAATAATATAAAATATAATATTAATATTGTTACCTACTATACATACATATATTGGTACCTACTACTATACATATAGAACTTTTACACTATAAAGTACTTAAACTACTGAAACTGGAATTTATGTAAGATGCAATCATACACATTTCTGGATAGTAAATAATTCAGTTTTCTTGTTATTTGTTATCATTTTATATATAATATTGTTTAATGTTTAATAATTTTTAATATCTATCTACACTCAGATGCAAAAAACGTACCTAACGGAAATTTTTTTAATTAAATTTAAAGTGTTGTATTTTTTATTTTTATAATTTTTTGGCAAACTGTATATAAATATATCTAATTTAATTATTGCTAAACTTACTTTTTTGTAAACGTTTGTATTTGAATTATTATTAACACATGCTTTAGTTAATTTTTAAGAATCGAGTTACTATCAGAAATTTGCAATCTTTTCAATTATCATGTCTTTTAATGTTATTTTTTTTAGTATAACTAGGTGGCTTTGTCAAGTCATATTGTACTTAAATCCCCTTTTTGAGGAAAGTTTTGGGGTAGTTTTAATTTCTCCTGTTTATTATGTTTTTTGGGGCGCTGAATTCAAATTTAATGTTTGCTAAGAAAATTTTGTGACGGAACATAGAGAAAAATGCAAAAAACAATTTTTTTGCGGTTTTTGGTTTTGATTTTTTTGGTTTACAACTTTAAAAATATTAACTTATCGTAAATAATCTTTCTATTCAAAATTGAAAGTAAAAATATAATTTCCTCTATAATTATTGTTAATTAAGTTTTTTTATTTGAAGAACTGTTCGGGATCAACAAATTGAAAATTAGCGTTAATTTATGATTAAAGTCTAATATGTTTTTTTTCAGTTTTATTTTTAGTTTTAAGTTACAATGTGTCATAAGACAGTGATTACAACAATTATACCACTTTCGATAATAAAAAAAATCAACTTTAAACTATATTTAAATTATGTCAATTTACATTATATTTAAATTATGTCACAAATAAGCACAGGGTGGGTCAAATTCGACGCTTTTAAATAGAAACACCCTCTTCTATAGGAGATAGACGAAAACTAATATCGGTGTCTGGAGCTCAATTTTCATCAAAAACATGATGGTGAAAACCGCTCATCAATATCTGTTACCGTTTCGGAGTTACGGGGTGTTTTTCAAAAATGTGCCTTTTTAACAAATTGCTGTAACTTTTTTGCTATGGAAAACTTTGTATTTCTATGAAAACATTTCCAAAGCACCTTTTTACGTAGAATTTAATGGTTTAAGTATATATTTTTTTAAATTAATAATTTAAGAGTTATCAACAGAAAAATTGATTTTTTATTTGGGACACCCTCTATATTTTTAATTAACTGAAAAGAATTTAAAATTACCTTTCCAAAAATATAGCACACTTGATATTTTGTTATAATCCCCGTCGAAATACAGAATTTTTAAAAGTTCGCCACTTTTAACTAGTAGGCTTTGGCCCCTTATTGATGATATGCGCTTAATGGAACTCGAAAACATATTTTTCTAGCAAGACGACGCACCGCCTCTGAACGCTGAAGTTTTCAGCAAATTTTTGCAGCCAATTTTAAGAATAATTGAATAGCTAACCAAAATCTTAGCCGTTGACCGTCGAGGCCGCCTGACTTAGTGCCCATGGATCTAATCCTATGAATATATTTGCGGAAGAATAAAAGTTCCTTATTCTTTCGTATAATCTAGACAAGAATTAGAAATACTTAGCAGTTATGAGAGGGTATCTATCACACCCCCTGAGTTAATGAATTCCGCCAGAAATGTTCAAAAACTGCCCCGTCTATCCATAATAGAAGACGGTCGATATGTCACAACACCTGTAGCAAAATCTCATGTCTTGGTTTGCTATTTATCTTTATTGTTATTAGATATGGTTTAAATGTGTTGATGTTGGTTAAATATACTTTAAATTGTTAGAAAATTCTGCATCTCTTATAGCAAATATTATTTTCGTTTTAATTGATGCTCACAGCTAGAATTTTTTTGCATTACAGCCGGTTCCGTTCAAAGCCTACTTATTTAAGCGGGCCGAATTTTTATATACTCTATATCTCGAAGAGGAATCGAGCAAAATATCAAATGTGTTATATTTTTGGAAAGGTAATTTTAAATTCTTTTCATTGAAGTAAAAATATACAGGGTGTCCCATATAAAGAGTCAAATTTTGTGTTGATAATTCTAAAATTATTAATTTTAAAAAAAATTATACTTAAACCATTAAATTCTACGTAAAAAGGTGCTTTGGAAATGTTTTCATAAAAATACAAAATTTTCCATAGCAAAAAAGTTACAGCGATTTGTTTAAAATGCATATTTTTGGAAAACACCCCGTAACTCCGAAACTGTAACAGATATCGGTATGCGGTTTTCATCATCATGTTTTTGACAAAAATTGAGCTCCAGACACCGATATTAGTTTTTGTCTATCTCCTATAGAAAAGGGTGTTTCCATTTAAAAGCGTCGAATTTGACCCACCCTGTACATACAGGTATACACTGTGGCTTGTTATAAAAGAATAGTATAGAGCGCATTATGGGTGATAGTTCTTAGACTATCAAATTTATACGAAATTAAAAAGTAAAACCTTTTGCAATTATGGACAACTCTGTACAGATAGAAATCAGAACTATAAATACAATCCAACCATACTTTTTCATTGAATTGCCATCGTAAAACGTTCAGATAATGATTTTTGACGGTAGTTTATATTCTCTTTCTCTCTTGTCATTTTTGATGCACACTCTGAAAATATTGTGGAAACAGCAGGGGCATAGGATGATTGACAAATATGCAAAGAAAGCAATCTGCCGCAGTATTATCTACTAGTCCATAGAAAAGGCACACAGAAAAAGCAAAAATTGTATCGCATCAAGCTAATGAGAATGCCGATTTCAATATTGCGAGAAGCACACGTTGGTCCTATTTAATAATAAAGTTAAAATAAGGAGGAGATTGGTAATTTTGATTGGCCTATGAAGCCCTGTATAAGGAATGTCTTTTTTAAACCAGACAATGAACAGGTTTATTATACAAACACTCGCTGTTATACCATTTCTTACAGCCCGACAAAACTATGCCCTGATACTACACACAACCAAACTTATATGGAATCATCTATTATTTTTCATAATTTTTGGGACGTATGAAAATGTTGTGTGTATAAATAAAACAGTCTATACCAATGACTTTTAACGATAAATAATCCATATAGCAATAAAAAAAAATCAGTTCCCAAAATAATCACAATGGTATTTTTCTGGTTTCTGAAACGAAATTAAAGGTGCCATTACACGGCGTGTGGAGCGCCGATCCACGCTACAGGCGCGTGGAGCGCTGCGCCAAGACGCGCCAAGACGGGCCGCACAGTGCGGCGAATGGTAATTCCAGCAGGGCAAAATATGATCTGATTGTTGGGACTTAAAATCTATAACGTAGCAAATGGTTTAATATATGTATAGCACCCATATGGGTTAAATTTATTTATTTATTAATAACTTAATTTATTAATAAATAAATAAATACAAGATAATAAAACTATTATATTATTCGTACGTGATACACAAAAACCGTACTGTAAACTATTGCTAAATAAATAAAATTATGATATCAGGTAAATACTTAAAAAAAATTATTTTAGCAGTTATTTTTTAATTAATTTGTGATCTTGTGAAACCGTGTATATTTTATTTTAAAAAATTCTATTTTATTTAAAAATAAATCAATTAGCTATTTTAATTTTAATTTTAACAATCTGTAAATGTAAATTCATATATAGTAAGTATCTAAGACAATTTTTAAAACTTTTATTAAAACTAGTAATAATCATTTAGTTTTTATTAGAAATTATGAGAAATTAAAAAAGGCTTTTGCATATAGTCATGCTTTATTTAACCCAAACATCATTTGGATGTTTTTGTCTTGAGAAAAATTGCCGAACTGACTATTGGTGTCACTTATTTATTTTTTAAACTCAGTGTCTTTCGATGGAGTTTCAGTTAAGCTTTCAACTATTACAGCAGCATCCCTACTCCCACTAGCCCTAAAGCTCATAGTACTTACAAAACATAATTTTTCCTTTCAATGGTCTTCAATTAACCCTTTAATGAGTCTTTGTTTCCTTATTATACTAGCCAATTGAAATAAACCTTTTGGGCGTCCACCTGTTAACCTTGAACTCTAAAAAAATAATGGAAAATGATCGTAGATGGTCTTAACACCTTTCTTTTCTTCGTTACTAAGAGCACAGAATATCTAGTCAAAAAAAAATATCTAATGAAATTATTTGGCAACCCAAATTTTTGTCAGTAGAATTTCAGTAAAAAATTTAAAATCAGTTAGATATTCTGTGCTAAGAGAGTTGGGATATAAAAATTGCATCACGATATCCCACAAAACGGTCAAGAGATGATGTTGGTTTTAAAACGCATTTTTACATACCTTTGTGCAATCTCCAACATAATTTAATTTTGGAATAGAATGTATGCACTTATAAATATTTTTTTTTCATATGACTGGTATGGCTGAGCAGAAAACGATCAAATTTGGTTGATAAAAATGTATACGACCAAAAAATAATTCATGCATTTTTATATCAGTTGGAATGAACACTATTTATTCTTATCACTACACATTTTTTTGGCTTATTTTTACAAACAAAACGGTTTTGTCCCACTAGACTTATCATCCACCGCACTGTGCGGCCATGGGACGACCGACCGGGCAGGCAGATACAAAAAATGCATTATATAACTTTTTAACATAGATTATCGGTTTAAATTGGGTTTAAATTAATACAATCGAATAATTTATTCCCCAACTTTATTTTCAGTGCAGTTTATTAAGATAACAGAGTGGCAAGCAAAACATCTGGTAAAATTAAATTAAATAAGATAATAATACTTTCTTAAACCAGGTTTATTTATGTTCAAAAGTTAAATAATGATTTTTTTACCTTAATTATGAAAATAATTAGAGTATATCGTATTTTCAGAAAGCCCATAACCAAGGCAAATAAAATAAAAAAAATAATACACTGGGTGTCATTTACAAATAGGAGTCAGATTTATCAGAAGTTATTTTTCAATGTGAAAAGACGGCTTTGGTGATTATTGTTATCTATATACTACTATGAACTGCTCGAACATGATCGACGTTTGGCAAATGCGTGGCAGGAGGGTTAAATGTTTAATTTCGTTAAATGAACTTTTCGCTTGGTCCTTAATGAAGAATAAGAATATATAACCGTTATAACGCAATATGATGTATGTAGCCTCAATGACAGTATGAACGGACGTATACAGGCAGTTATAGCAGCCAAGGGCGTCAATACAAAGTATTAGGGTATTTTTTACAATTTTTTTTCTGTTTGTATACTTGAGTATTACAGATGTTTTCTTTAATATCGTTCTGTTGTTATTAATGTTTATTAAAACCCGGAATGTATCGTTAGTCTTTAACGTTTTTTTTTTAATTTAGTATAGAGTATCCAATGCAGTGTAATATGACATTACGGCAATAGTCACTAAAATCATCTCGTCATATTAAGAAATTACATCTAAAAGTAATGATAATTAAAAAAAATCCAAATTGAACGTTCATTTCGCTCTTAAAAAGTTCATTTCACTCTTAAAAATTAACCAAAGCATATATTGGCATGAATCAAAAAACAAAATGCTCAGGAGTCATGGTTCTGACCGTAAAATTATATTTTAGGAAAATTTACAGAACAAATTATTGCACAGAGCGTTTTAAAGTTAGGGTAAAAAGACAACCCCTCGATTAACCCTGCATAATATGCCAAATACTAAAGTTTAGAGAAAAGTGAGTTTGCGAATTAAAGTTGATATAATTATATACAGCTTGCTAAAAAATTCATGAAAATAGGGCTAAAAGTAACAAAAATATAACACTTTAAATTTGCCCAAAAATTTCTCCGTTGCGTTTTTTTGCATCTGAGTGTAATCATAGAGAGCTGTTGTTTTCAAATGATATATGCAATTATAAGCAACGCTATTATGATTAAGCAATAAGCAAAATATTTTCGAACGCACTGTTGCAAACTTAGCGGTTTCTCGCTAGAACTATTTTTATTTTGTTTCTTATTTGGTTTAGCGGGAAAAATCATTTAGCGGCTAGCGGTTTTATAGCCATTTATATTTTTGAATAATACATAAGTAAAATTGGCATAACAATTTTTACATAAATTTTAAACGAGTTATTTGAAAATTTGCACCAATAGTCACGTAATTATCATATATTCTTAAAATATCTAGAGCTAGAATCGCCGAGAGATCTTCGTCGTCTTGTTAAATCAGTGTCATCTAGCCTCCATGTGATGTGACAAAAATGACGAGTGAGATGTGAAACATTTTTTGCAAGTTATCTTCGAAAAAATATTTTTGCCTCAAAAAGTATACACGGTGGCATGTTTTTATAAGTGACAAAAAATGTAGTGTAAACTAAAAGTACCATTTTACGAAAAAATCACGTCGGTTGAGTTGGAAAATATTTCTGCTAAAATTTATGTTGAGGTGGAGGTAGCTTTCTCCCTTCTCGTACTTTTTCTTGATTTTTGTGAAAGTCAAATGTTAAAGCACTTAACAAAACATAGACACCTAAAATTTAATTCAAATCGGGATAACAATTCTTAAAATATTTGAAAAAATGTGTTTATTTTTTTGAGGTCCCCCTAACGGACAAACGAATCACTTTTGTATAGAGGTAAATTGTGTCCAATGAACTTATTTTGATTCCAAAAATACGTAGTAGTTCTATGTCCACGGAATATTGGGACACCCTGTATATATCTTCCAAAATTTTGGCAAGATTTGGTATAACATTTTTGTAGCATTGATGTATAATATTTTAACTTCTGGAAGGATAAGATCTTTATTTTTGGACTTGAAGAACATTTTGTCGTGGATTTCAACGTCAGAGGCTTTCGGAATTTTGACTAGTACTGCTTGATTTATTTGGATGTATTGATCGCAGCCCCGGATCTACAATTTTTTTGAACCGGGGCAAAATATCGATAGTAGCGCCCCCTCTCTCCAGCGTTTGCAATAAATTAATTTAAAAAACTTACATATATCTAGATATAGATAGCCATTTTTCGTAAACGGGATAGAATGAGCCCTTAAGCTTCATTCAGAGCCTCCGAATTAGTGGAATAAATTAATGGTTTCAATTAGCGTAGAAGTATGTTCCTTTAATTTCATTGTAAGCATTCAGTACGTCTAAATTAGTGGTAGTCATTTTCAATTAGTAAAAAAAGTAAACAAACTTTTGACTTTTCCACTAATTATACTTCAAATTTTGCGGAAAATGTCATTTTGTCCATTGATTAGCATCCGTCAAGAGAAATGGTGGTTAGAAATCAAAAGTTTATTGTTTTATAAGCTAAATATTTGGCTTTCTTTATGGATACAACTGACTACCGCAAGCTGTTGCTAGGATATTTTATTAATTATAATTGTGTTTTTTAAACATTGTGAATGATCGTAAACTAAAAAGTGTAATTAATTGAAACCGCTAATTTATTCCACTAATTGCGAGGTTCTGAATGAAACTTTAGAATGTGTTCAAAAACTTCGCTCCTATTGGTCCAAAAGTTACGAGGCAACCTGTTTAATATAGCAACCTTGAGTACGGGTAGCTTTTAAACAGTGGAGAATTCAAAGAGCTTTAAAATAAAATGCACAACCAATTTTTATTGTTTTTACTTCCTATATATGTATAGGGTGGTCCGAATTGTATTCCGGAAACTTCTAAAAATAGATAAAAAAAAGTTCGTATAAATGTATGTCCTAAAATGTCTTAGTTTCGTAGATACAGGGTGTAGAAATTTCATTTTTCTTTAGATTTTTTCCAAATAATTTCTGAAGTAACGTCAATATTTGGATGAAAATTGTTGTCTGGGAGTTTTTTGACATGAGAAATTTGATATAGATGCCAATGTGACCCCTATTTGTAGAGGGCGTCACCTACATATTTTTAACTGCTTTGAAGAGTAGTATCAAACTACTGAGTAAAAAAATATACATTTGCAACGTTTTTTACGTAAAAAAGGTCTCTTGGTAAAAATCGCTACAAGTAATGGTTCTCGAGATATTTGGAACCGAAATCATCAATACCTGTCATCATTGACGTATTTTTTTTTATTTTTTCGAAGAAACATTTATGATTAATTTAAAAAAAAAGTTCCCAAATTTATCATTTTAGTCCAATAACTATCTACTAAACATGTTTTTTTTTTGTCAATAATGACACGTATTGACTATTTCCATTCTAAATATCTTGAATCGCTAGATCTTAAAATATTTTTAATAAACTTCTTAAAAATCTTTTAAATACCTCTGTATATTAGAGGGATGTATTAGTATTTTGTTGAACTATATAGCAAATTTATTCATTTTTTTTAATTCGTAGCTTACATATACACGGTTTTTTCTGGATTTGGTATAACAGCAGGTGCACATCGGTTATGGGCACACCGAACGTATAAAGCTAATTTACCACTAAGAATATTTCTGATGTTAGCACAATCAGCCGCCCTGCAAAATGATATTCATGAATGGGTAAGTGTATATTACTTTGGAAATGATAATCTATTTTTATAAAGTAAATTCGTAAGTAGTCTTAATAGTAAGAGAGCTAGCAATGTCTGGAAAACAGATATTTTAAATGAGCTGGATCTTTGATATATCTTTTACTAGGCTCTTTGGAACAGCGGGCAGGCCGCCTGGCTGCCGATAGACATTGCGTTCACTACTGCGCAGAGTTTACCCCGAGTCGGTATTCAACTCGGGACTTCTCGATTTATAGGCGGAAAGTTTTCGCGCCGCGCTATGAAGACTTGTTCGATTTATATTCAATACTAGAATTTAACGGACTAAATAAAAAAAAATTGGCGCCGGGAGGCACGTATAGCCGCCCATACTAAAATATGTTAATAAAAAGTTGGTAGGCAGTTTTTTTAATTTCAAAGTAAAGGATTTTTTCCAATTTTGGTCCGCGGTTATTTCCCCTATCCGCCACCTGGGGTCGCGTCCGATGGGAGTTTGGAGTTCTCCACATGGATTTTCTCAAAAACGAACTACGGAACACAGAATATCTCAAAAACTGCGACTTTGACTGATTTTGATGTTATTACAAATTTTGTTGCAAATATTATTTCTAATCTTAAATTGAAAACCGCGTTTCGCTAGCTACTGTAATTTTGGAGTTACGATTTTTTAAAATTGACCATTAAAATTGACCAGAAAAATGCTACACATTTTTATGGTCAAGTTCTGCACAATCAGAAATTTTCTTGTGGCAACCCTCGGCAGTAATGAACGCAACGTCTATCGGCAGCCAAACGACTCGCGCGCTGTTCCAGAGAGCATAGCAAAAGAAAGAGCCAGCTTTCTTAAAATACTTTCTCGAAAACGTTGCTAGCTCTTAGACTATAAGGATCCGCAACGCGTTTTGGCGAGAGCGGCGCGGGATCGAAATATCATGGCAGGATATGATAGAATCAAAATAGCATTCAAACCAAGGCGTTCTGCCGCTTGACCGCTCGACGAAAATGCGGCGAATTAGCCTGTGGTTACATTGGATGCGTGTCCGTGCTTTATTTTGGTGGTACGTGCACGGACGTGCACGCAGCAAAAAACAAACAAATGGTATCTACGCAGGCGGTTACATTGCATTGGAGTTTGCGCGTCCGTGCACGTACGCCAATTTCCGTTGGTCGGATGAAAACAAACTGGTTTGTTTTTTTAATACGTGCACGTCCGAGCGTTCGAATTTTTTTCTCTGGTCCCAATACATTCCCGAAAAAATTGAATATTTTTGAATACCAGGTTTAATTTTACTTGGGATGTATTAATAATAATAATAACGTTTATTAAACATTTTCTCTCGAAATTAAAACAGATACAAAATAGTACAGTACAATACCAACATAATATGCTAATATATCTAATACACATTATCTAAGTACAATTTAACTAAAACTAAATTTAAATTTTAAGAATCGAAATAAACGTTAAAAGAATTGCCACAAAGTAATAGAATTACTTGTATGTGGAAAAAAATACAATTTAATTATGACAATATATAATGTTCACTGGCACTTATGAAAACTTATTTTGTATACTTGAAGTTAACTAGGTCATTAAATATATCTCTACCTCGATCAACCATCCATTTGCATACCCCTTTTTTAAACCCAGAGTAACTTTTAACTTCCTTTAGGAAGGTTGCTAAGATGTTATATAATCGAGGTGCAAAAAAGTTTGAAGATCTTTGTCCAACAGTTTTAGAGCATAAACTAGGATAAAACGCCTTGTGTCTAGTTTCATATTCATGGTCAACATGTTCAATAGATATTTTCCCCTGATAAATGAATTTTAAAACATCTAGGCAGTATTATAGCTGACGTATATCAAGTAGATGCGCATTCTTAAAGAGAACGTTTGAAAAGAAAGTATTCTTTTTATTGTAAATAATTTTATGAACCATTTTCGAATAGAATACAAGCTTTTTAAATGGCATTCAGCCGCACCACCCCACCCTAGAATTCCATATGTCAAATGAGATTGTACAAGGGATGAGTACAGGATTCTAAGCTGTTTGACGTCCAAAAAACTTTTCAAATAATTCAATTTCGGCAACAATCCTCGCAATTTTTTAGTTAGATTATTAATATGAATATTCCATTTAAGATGTTTGTCGATTGTAACCCCTAAATATTTTTTAGAATCACATTCCGGTATTACATTATTATTGGATATTTGTAATCTGTCCCAATCTGGTTCATTATTTTTATAAATAGAAAAGGATATAAATTTGGTTTTGTCATAGTTTAATGTTAATTTGTTTTTGACAAACCAGGTATTAATTGTCTGAAAGTCTTCCTCTGCTAATCTTTTCAAATTCGACCAAGAGTTAGATTTATAAAATATCGCTATATCAACTGCGTAGCTAAAAAAATCTGCTTTTGTTAATAGTAAGTAGATCATTAATATAAATAACAAACAATAACGGACCCAACACAGTGCCTTGTGGTACACCATGCTCAATCCTTCCTGGCTTGATATTAATATCTCCCAAATTAACATATGCTGATCTGTTCTTAAGGTAACTTGTTTCCTCGTATTCCATATCTCTCTAATTTGTCTAAAAGTATTTTGTGATTTACCGTATCAAATGCTTTAGCGAGATCTACGAAAATACAGAGGCTTCGATATCCCCAGTCTAGAGCATCATAGATTGATTATGTCAATGCATGAACTGTGTTGATTTGCCTTCTAAAAAAACAAATTGATTTTTTGATATTATGTTAAATTTTAGAAAGAATTTTAACAAACGTTTTTTTATAACTGTTTCCAAAATTTTATAAAGAAACTGATAATATAGATATCGGTCTATAATTGCCTACGTGCTCCTTATCACCCCCTATATATAATGGTTTAATTACACCTACTTTAAGACAGTCCGGAAAACAACCACTTTCGATACAAAAATTTATTAAAAACGTTAAAGGCTTTGATATATCTCCCGATAGTATTTTAATAATATCCGAGCTAATATTGTCATAACCAGGAGCTTTTTTATTTTTTAGATTTTTTATTATGCTTATTATTTCGTCTTCGCAAGTTTGGCGTAAATACAGACTGTTTTCCAGACGGCTTATATCACAGGTATTATTTGTTGAAGATATTTTAACCGCTAGTTTTTCAGCGACAGTACAATAATGATCATTTAATATCATTAATAGCATTAGATATCTTTAATTTATCAGTATATACGTGACCTTCTTCGGTTTTAATTGTATTTATATCTTTATTTTTTTGTGTTTTAGCGCATATTTTATTTATACACTTCCATAGAGAAGAAGATGTCTCTTTGTTTTTGTTAAATTCTCTTTTTTTATGACAATAAAGCAATTTCTTTCTTTCTTTCTTTCTTTTTATGTAATTTTTCTTTGCAGTTGTTATTAGTGACCTAATTATATTCTTATAATTATTATAGTTATAGTTGTATTTTAATTCTAGATTTGTCGGATGTAGCTTTAATTTATTATATAATTTATTCTTTATATTTATTGATTTAAGAAGCCCAGAAGTCATCCACTCTTTTATAAAATAAGTGTTTTTAGACTTTTTAATTTCTACTTTTTTATTATTTTTGTCGATATACAATGTTAATTTTCGCATGAAAATCTGAAAAGCTTTGTTTGATTTATTTTCTGTATATATATCATTCCAGGACTCCTTCCGGAGATCTTCTTTTAATCATGTGTAATTGGTGTAATTGGTATAGTATTTAGATTTACATAGGTTATTTTTCGGTTTGTTTACTTCTCTAGGTAGAGATATAGCAATTGGATAGTGATCTGTTATATCATTTTCAAAAATAAAAGATTTTATTCTCCTTGATATTTCCGTTGAACATTTTACAAAGAAATGATCAATGTACCGTTTCTTGGTCTAGTTATCTTATTAATGTATGAGTTGAAGTTAAAAGATGCCAATATATTTTTATAGTGTTCTACATAATCTTTTTCATCAAATAAATTAATATTTATTAATATTATCACCAACTAAAATGTGTGAGTGTGAACTTCTTTTTTTGAGAAAGATACCTCTCAAGGCTTATAATAAAATCTAATTCGTTAATACTAGGAGACTTATAAATAGCAGATATACAAATATTTTCAATGTTTTTATATTTAATAATTAATTCTAATATTTTTGTGTTACCTAAAGAAACTATAGAATGTTTATAATTAAATTCCGATTTTATATAAACAACAACTCTGTCATTTTTATTCAATTGACCTTCATTATAAATTAGGTCATACTTTTTTTATTTGGAATGGACTATAGAAATATCATATTGTTTATAAGTTTTCGTAAGAATAATTACGTCAAATTCTAGGCTGAGCGTATCCAAAAATGTTCTAAAATTATCAAAATTTTTACCTAAACTGTTAATATTACAATGTATACATTTAAAGTCTTTTTTTAGATTAATGGAGTATCTAGATCTAAAATTATTAAAATCACTAATTGTTTCTCTGTCGATATCCTTAACTTGAAAATCTCTTATATATGAGTCCATTTTTATCATTAAAACACACTTCTAACACTAGATATCTTTAACTAGAATGTTACCTCTTCACGCACATTTGTCAGTTTTTTTCACTAGATGGACCTTCTGATTACTATACTAAGGTTTCGGGTGGCTCCTAGTTGACGGTCTTTGTACCTTACTGGATGATTGTAGAGATGCTGTATTACTATTTGAACCCCTTCGCGCTTCCGCACTTGATGTCCATTAAACAACGGTGAATTCAATCGTATTGATTGGCCTGGATAAGGGATGGTTTGATTCTAGCTTGTTGCGCTCGATACCACTAGATTGAACTGGTGGATCGTATACAGGTGTACCCGGGGCACTCAAGGAAGGTCTTGATGGAACGTCAGTAAATACTTCGTTGTCTGAGTCGTTTTCTTTATGCCCTCTCTCCACTAGCTGTTCGTAGCTAAAACTCTCGTTTATAAGGGTTTCTTTCTTTACGTGCCCTCTCAAACCTTTCTTCTTAGCCTCTTTTAAGTTCTCATTCAATACTTTATTCATCACTCTCTTTTTTGGAAAGATCGTGGTTTATAAAAATCTGTTTACCCTTCAATTTATAAGCGTTTTTGAGTATTACTTTTTTTAAATATGTGTTAAGTTCTATACGCAAAGGCTTGTTTGAGTCGTTACCTAGATAATATATTATTTATGTCACTTAAATATACATCTATTCCTAAAAGAGTTTTTAATTGCTCTATTACCCAGGCAGCTAGCTCAATGTCCTTTAAATTACGATTGTTCCGTAGGCCAAAGATTATTAGATTATTCTTTCTAACTAGTTTTTCTATTATTCGAGCTCGCACATATAAAAAAATGCATGAACCCGCGTCCAATTTTCTTGACATAGCGTGCACAATTCTTCCCGCGCCGCTGCTTTAATCCCGCGAGATTGTACTGTCTCGCGGGACTTTGTCTCAGTGAAACTGGGGATTAATATGCCGTGTTTTAGAGAAAATTTAATCGGATTGGTTCTTTATCTATTATATTTTATATAAATAAATAAAACAAAACGTTGTATCTCGTGTTCATACCTTTAGTGTCATTGCAATACGTTCTTCCGGACTAATTGATTCCCTATAATTTGTATTTAAAATTTAAGATCTCTTCAAAACAGTCACTTGGCATTCTTCAAATTCCCATTCAAAATATATTATATAAAATCGTTTAGGGTATATTTGCAGTTGCGGCATTAACGTGTGCAATTCGCCATAATTTTTTTGCTGAACATTAATATTATGGACCCATTTTCTTTTTTTTTCTGAAAACAGAATGTATTTTCATAAAATTTTTCTCAGAAAAAAATATATTTCATATTTTAACACCAAACCTAGCTAAGTGTAAATATATCACATAACAATTAGGTATGTCAATTACAGGCTTGTTTTATAACATTTTTTTAAATAAAACGAATTATAAAATTTGAATATATGTATATTTGTCGAAGGTATGAAAAAAGTAAAATATAAAATGGACAAGCAATACGTAGGTGCAAAATTTAGGCACGATCCGGTTAGGGTTTAGGCTTTTAACAACCGGAAGGAAAATTTACAGGATATTGACTTATTTTCTATATCCTGACCAGTTATTTATCCATATTTTCGAAACGTCTACAAAAATATATTTGTGAAATAATGATTATTAAAAAATAAATACACAAAATTATAGAGTAATAATAAATATCCTAAACCTGCTAACGCCATTTCATATATAACATAAGGACGCAAATCTACCACATTGTAGTTATATTTATAAAAAAATTGCTACATATAGGGAAATTAAAATAACTTTGGTTGCACATCATACGATCACCATCAAACTCCATAAGATGACGCACGGTGTCATTGATGACGTGCAACGAAAGTTGTTTTAATTTCCCTTTATATGGTTATTAGTATTAGTACCTATTAAGTATATTTACGCAATTTTAAACATCTATTTCTGATCTTCGTTTTTTAATCATTTTAGTCTAGGGATCATAGAGTACATCATAAATTTACTGACACAAATGCAGATCCACACAATGCAAGTAGAGGTTTCTTTTTCTCTCATATCGGTTGGCTAATGTGCAAGAAACACAAAGATGTCTTTGAAAAGGGAAAAACAGTTGACATGAGTGACGTTCTAGGAGATCCCGTAGTTCAATTCCAAATAAAGTATACATGCACTTCTCTTAGGATAAGCGTAACACAATTAATATATGCTAATTCTAGGTATTACATTTTATTGATAATCATAATGACGTTATGCATTCCTACTTTCATACCATGGTATTTTTTTGGTGAAACTCTTTGGATGTCGTTTGTGATATGCATGGGAAGATACGTTGTTTCACTGAATGGGACCTGGTTAGTCAATAGCGCTGCACATATTTGGGGAAATAAACCATATGAAAGGTAATTATTAGGGCGGTATCGGTTTAATAATGGTACGCATATCAATATACTGAGTGATTGACAGGGATGCTAGCTTAGACGTTTTCAAAATTTTAATTATTATTTAAACCCACCATCTACTAAAATATTTTCAGCATTACAATGTTGCTGTTTATTTTAAAAGCAGTATCATCTTTGCTATTTCAAATGAAACACCCGATATTTTATTACATTTTTGGAAACTACTTTTATTTTTCATAATTTTTCTATTATACTCCCCTATACTATAATAATTAAATATATTTAATAATTTTGGAGATACAAATTAAAAGGTGTAAAATTGACAATAGAATGACCTTATAAGCAATGATAAAATCATGAATTCACCATATTGAAAGTTGAAATTTTGTCTTTGTCTTTTGTCTAACACAACCTTGGATATCACACAGGGGCATAAAAAATATATTTATTTTCAGTACCTACATTTATATTGCTTAAATATATTTGTTATGTTAAATTAAACCCTGTGTATAATAGATATTAGTAAAAAATCAAAAGAATAATAAAATTTATTTTTAACGATACATTTTTATGGTTTCCAAACCAAACCATCCGGTTTCCTCAGTAAAGCTATTTAAAGGATAATAATTGTATTATAATTTTTCCTTTTAAGAACTTCGTTACCATTGTAAATATTCAAACTTTATAAGTATGAGTTAGTATGAGTTAGATTTTACAAGCTATATTTCTAAAATGGTTATGGTATTCTTCAAACGAAACTGTAATAATAGAATTATTAATTTTTAAATACCTCTACTGAAGAAACTGGAAAATTGTGCATGATATATCGTTAAAATGCAACTTTATTAGATTTTTTGAATAATTTACGTAGGGTTTAATTTTAAATAACAAAGATATATTTGAGCAATTTTATATCAAACGGACTTACATATACATTTTTTTATTCTTCCGTGTGATATCCAATCGCTGGTGCACTCTCTTTCTACTGCGAGGATATGGCGATGGAATGATTGCCGGTATAAGCAATCAAACTCTGAAGGCCAACGGTATCGAGAGGACGAGCTGACAGAGTAGGGCACCCCCTTGCCCTGGAGTTGGGGAACCGACTCTAAAGACGGATGTACTGCAGAATGGAGAGAACGGAATAGAGATAAAGAAGAATGGCTAGGGCACAACACCTCATTAAAGATTCTGAATGGATAAGCCCTATTAGAATTTTATGCTAATATTTGCAGCGAAATTAAAATCTGGAGGGGCAGTTACAAGTCTATCTGGAGGCTACAAGACTATCTGGAGGTTACAAGCATATCTGGTAGACTAGTGTCACATGGAACGTAAAGTTAATGAGCCAAGGAGGAAAAATCGATAATACCATTCAAGAAATGTCACACATGAAGTTAGACATCCTCGAAGTATGCGAAATGAGGTGACTAGGTCAGGATCCACTAAAATTCAAGATCACAAAGTACACTACTCTAGACAAAACAACGGCAAACACAAAAATGAAGTTTATGTGATAGTTACCAAGGCGGTAATAAAGTGTGTAGACAACTTCATTCCAGTCTCCGAACAAATCATGCTAATACAAATGAAAGCAAAACCAGTAGACATAAACATTATGTCTAAGTGGCGGAGCTCTACCATAGCATAAGTCAAGTAACGAAGAAACTAAAGAAACAAGATGTGCTAAGCATCATGGGGGAATTCAATGCAATACTGGGAGAAAGAAGAAGGTCGAACTCAGTGGGCTCATTCTGACTGGGAGACAGAAACCAACGACGACAAGGAGCAATCACCAACGGACAAACCATTAAAAGTAGTACGAAATTAAATTGATTATATTTTAATTAGCAAGATGTATAGAAATTAGTGTACAGCAATCGAAACGTATCCGGAGGCACACATTCTATCTGATCTCGTCCCTGTAATTGGTAAAACTTCAAAATCAATGTGAAGAGAGTTGTAAACAAGAAAGTGTGGAGTGAAATACAGTCCTAAGGAAACTAAAAGACTCAAGAGATATCAAGCAAACAGTAAAAAACGCCCTTAACGATATACTGGAGAACAGTGAAGGTACCGAATACGCAGAAAAAGGACTTGCGATATTACAACAAACAACAAACACAATCACAATCAATAGTTCGTCAAGAAAAATCCTAGAGAATGGAAACGGTGTATGACCAACGAAATTCTAGAGGTCATAGAGGAAAGAAAAAGAAATAATGGCAAGCCAAGTGCATACAAATAAACCCACCGTACAATCAGAAGAAAGACCAGAGAAGCCAAGGAGAAAGAGAAAGAGAAGCATTGTCAAAAGATTTAAGTTCTACCAGAGTCGGTACTACAACTTTAACGTCTATCGTAATGTTAGCAAGAAAATACAAGAACAACAACAGCTGCAAAATTGTAGACCAAGATGGCCATAAAATAACCAACAAAGATGAGTAGAAGAATGTATGGGAGCAGTACCTGAAGGAACGTCTTCATGACCTCAGAGCAACACAAAAATCTGTTATAGAGAAAGGCACAGAACATGAAATAATGCCAGCAACCTTGAAAGAAATGAAGGGAGGAAAGACACCAAGCCTAGTTGAATTACCAACTGAATTACTGAAATTCCTTGATTGTGAACAAATTAGGACTCTAACAGAAATCTTATTAATTTTAATCAACTCAATATCTGATTCAGGGAGAATCCCAGTCGAATGGTTGAAATGATAATACTCCCAAAGAAGCCAGGTAATACTTCCTTGTTCGATAATTTACAGGTACTAAGACCTGTGGATTATCGAACAATAAGTCTTATGAGCCACTTGGTAAAACTGTTAGTAAAAGTTATTCATAGAAGAATATACCGAATGTGTAAAGCAAATTGCACCCAATTAGTTTGGGTTCATAAACGCCTTTGGCACAAGAGAGGCATTATTCAGCGAACAAGTCCGGTTCCAAAAATGAAAAGATGTGAGCTGTAACGTTTTTGCATGTCTAATAGACTACAAAAAGGCATTTGGCCGAGTAACACACGAACAAATGATAAACATCCTGAAAATGTCCGGCATGGACGGTAAATATTTACGAATCATAGCAAATCGGTATTGGAACCAGTCGGCAGATGCTAGAGTGGATGAAAAGCATACAGGACAAGTAGATATCATGCGAGTTGGAAGAGAGGGGTGCCTAATAGGGTGGAACGATTTTTTTTTCCAAACATTTTCACACAAGCCTCAAAATGTGCCTTTAGATAACTAATTTTTTTTTCTCAAAAGCTTTTGTATCTTCAGGTTCCTCACGGGCCTTAAAAGCTGAGATATTTTGAAAAATATATTTGTTTTTTTGCCCGTCAACATATTTGATAATTATTTATCTTTTACCATTAAAACACTGCTTAACGATAAAATATAACCCAGTAATGTTATCCAAACTAAATCACTTAAATTATTGTTTTCCGGTTCCTCAATATAATTGAAACTTGTCCACCAGCATGATAAACTACCATCCGTGGCACTTGCCTGTGACAAAACTGGAGTTTCAGATCACGCTGCCGCTATAATCGCAAATACTGTTTTAGAGGATATTGGAGTAGTGTCTAAAAGCAGTTCTACACAGATAGTAGATAGAATGAAGATCAGGAGGGCCAGAATGTCTCAACGTAACGTTTGTACTAGTGTATTAGGTGAAATGTCGTTATTAGGCGTGTTTTATTAGACAGTTTCAATCCTGTGTTATTAGACAGTTTCAATTTTTCTCAATTTTACAACAGCTCTGGTTTCACAGTTATCTAGTTTCTGTCCAATAACACCTTTGAGTCCACCGGGACCCGAAGATTCACCATCTAGTTCTTTTACTCAATATCGCAAAGGAAGTTCATTTAAATGGAATAAATAAATTAACCATTGTAAGGGATGTTTTAATTCTTTTTCCAACAAACGAATAACGCCATTTTTCACTCCCGTATTCACAACAGTTCCATCTGTCCCAACTGCTACTAAATCAGAAAGTTCAGTCAAGTCAAACTTTTCTTTCAAGTCGTCCAAATACTTAGAACCGGGTTCACTTAGAATAGAAATATGTTCTTCCACAACGCGTTTTCTCTTCCTTTTATTCTTATCGTAAATAATAGTAGAGTCCTTTCGACCATCAAAAAAACACGCCTAATAACGACATTTCACTTAATACATTAACGTTAGGTTGAGACATTCTGGCCCTCCTGATCTTCATTCTATCTACTATCTGTGTAGAACTGCTTTTAGACACTACTCCAATATCCTCTAAAACAGCATTTGCGATTATAGCGGCAGCGTGATCTAAAATTCCAGTTTTGTCACAGGCAAGTGCCACGGATGGTAGTTTATCATGCAGGTGGACAAGTTTCAAATATATTGAGGAACCGGAAAACAATAATTTAAGTGATTTAGTTTGGATAACAATATTGTGTTATATTTTATAGTCATATTAAGCAGTGTGTTAAAGGTAAAAGATAAATAATTATCAAATATGTTGACGGGCAAAGAAACAAATATTTTTCAAAATATCTCAGCTTTTAAGGTCCGCGAGGAACCTGAAGATACAAAGGCAGGGCGCTCAGCTTTTGAGAAAAAAAAATACTTATCTAAAGGCACATTTTGAGGCTTGTGTGAAAATATTTAGGAAACATTTTTTTTTTCGTTCCACCCTAGTGCAATCTTACCAATGATATTCAATATGTACTCTGAACCGAGCTCTGAACACATCTTTTAGGAGGCACTTGATGAAGGTATCTAGATCAATGGAATCCCACTCAATAACCTGCGCTACGCTGACGATATAATAGGGTTTGCCGCTAAATATGATGAACAGTGTAGCAGAAACTAGTACGAAGTATAGACCTGACATAAATAAAACTAAAATGAAATTCATGATTATCAGCAAAGACAAGATCACTGGAATTAATTTGTACATAAACCGACAATTGCGACCTGTTGCGAGATTGTCTCACGGTAAACTTACAATATGATTAATAAATCGTGAGACAACTCGCAAGAAATCAAGTGCAGAATTGGAAAAGTCAAATGCGCATTCTTAACCAGTCTTTAAAATCCACAATCTGACTCTAGAAATAAAAAAAAAGACTCCTAAAATGTCTCCTACTCCGTTCTCACATATGGTGATGGCGTAGAGATACCTATTGGACCCTAAAGGAGGACACCAAACCAAATCAAACTTTCGAACTCTGGCTGTACAGGAAAATCTTGAGAATACCATGATGTACAATTTCACAAACATCGAAGTCCTGAGACCAATCAAAACAATCTGGAACTCGTCAACAACGTCGGATGCCGTAAGCGGCAATATCTAGGTCACGTGAAGAGGAACTAAGGAAGCGCCCTAGTACATCGTCCAAGGTTAGATACAGAGAAAATGACGTCCAGGACGCAGGCGAATTTCCTCGCCCGCAAACCTCAGATCCTGGTTCGGAAAAACGCTCACTCAACTTTTCCGGATTGATATAAACAAAATCAGCATAGCCAAAATGATCGCCGACGTTGGTAGCGGACAGGTACTTTAAGAAGAAGAAGACATCCAGTCGATTGCTCGAGAAATCGAATACACGGACTCTTCTTAACCTCTCACCCAAATTTCAAACCCGTGTCGCAAACGTATCTGTCCTGAACAAAGCTAGCTGCGAGAGCGCTGAAGTCCTGACTAGTAAATCCCGACTCTTCACGTATGCAAGATGCAAGAAAACCGTCTACCAATATTTCTTTTTTACGGTGAACTTGTAGACAGTAAAAGGAAGCCGAGTAAACATCTCAAAAAGTAAAAAGATATTTTCTAGTAAAACTTAAAGAGGATAAACATACAAAATCAGTGGGTGGTAGAAATAGAAATGCACATTAAATGGCAACGGAGAAGAATTGTAAACTTAGGTAACAACGACAACCAAAAAGTAAAAAGACAACAAAGTAATAAGACTTTTGAATAACTCGAGTGCGAAAAGGAAATCAGATCACGTATCTGTCTACTCAGTCACAGAAAAGCTCATCAAAGAAAACGCCCAGCGTAGCCCTTCTGATGCGTGTCAAATACTCGTCAGCGATTAATGGCAGTAAGTAAGTAACCCAAATTTCAGCTTTTAATATATTTAATTCATGATTTTACAAATGCTTATTCAAGGTACTTCTGTCAATTTTACACGTGTTTTATTTTTTATCTCGAAAACTTTTAGAGCTAGGTATATGAAAATATAATAGAAAAATTATGTGAAGTAAATGGTAGTTTCCAAGTATATACCAGGTGTTTCGCTTAAAATAACAAAAATACTACTACTTTTTAAATGACGCAAACTGTAATACTGAAAATTACTCTAAACTTAATTTAATGTATTTTCATAAAATAGTAGGTACAGTTTATTTTAATAAATCGTATCAACGGTTCTCCATAAACGTTAGCCTACCATCACAGTGAATCACCCCATAGATCATTTAATTTAAATAATTTTTTTTTGTTAGGTGTCTATAATACTGAATACGTCTGAAAAGTGTTTCACCCCTATAACTTTTTTATTTTTTAAGATAAAATAAAGAAATTTGGTATGTTAGTATATGACATAAATTCGGATTGATTGACGTATTCAATTATTTTCGGTTACGTCCTGTTTCACCGGAAATAACTACAACTTTTGATTTTTATATGGCACCTTTGGTATTTTTTTACTTTATTCGATAAAAAGTGACACTCTGAATAGAATGACATATCATATGTCAACTTTTGATATTTTCGCGTATGGTTTATTTAAAATTGTAACATAACCTAAAATAGTGAAAAATTGCAATTTGACTCGATATACCAAGTGAGTGGTACCAAATTATTCGTAAAAATGCTCTTTCAATATGCTAATGAGTCACCCTCGATCCATTTCAAAAAATTAAGTATTAAGATATGATTAAAAATACGATTTGGGCATCTTTTAACCGGCCAAGACAATCTATTAAAACATTAAACCATCAAATCTATTTTTCCAAGGCTTCTTGATTAATTAGTGTTTTTAACACAGTCAGGACATTCTAGATTGAAATTTAAATACAATATTTTTTTAAGAGAAAATTTTAAAAGTTGACATGTAATATGTCATTCTATTCAGAGTATCATTTTCTATCGAATAATGTAAAAAATATCAAGGGTGCCATTTAAAAATCAAATCATATATTTACAGACCAAATCTCGTTATTTTATCTTAAAAAATAAAAAAAGTTATTGGGGTGAGCCACTTTTGGGACGCACCCGGTATAGTTTATATCCACTTCGGTAAAAAAATCACCACCGAATTTGATAAATATGAGAGGTATTGAATTATATTTTTACTCAGATCTATAAACACCTATTTTTTTAAATACAGTCATTTCGTTTAAAACTCTATAAAACAAAAAATAATGATAGGAGTATATCTCATTAGATACAAACAATTTAATATGCAGTATAGATTGGATTAGTAAATGAATTTATTTACTAATAAACAAAATTAATTTATTTACTAATAACAAGCATAATATGGACCATTGGGCTTTAAAAATATGTACATTTTATGAAATGAAAAAATAACGTAATGTAACTAATATTTTGAATTTTTAATATATGTTATTTTTGTTTTTAAGAGATATAAAGCCAACAGAAAACAAATCAGTATCAATAATAGCTTTCGGAGAAGGTTGGCATAATTATCATCATATATTTCCTTGGGATTATAAAGCGGCAGAACTAGGAAATTACAGATTAAATTTTACTACAGCGTTTCTTGATTTGATGGAAAAAATAGGATGGGCTACAGAACTTAAAACTGCTTCAAAAAGTATGATTAGAAGAAGAGCAACCCGAACAGGAGATGGTAGTTGGTCTGTAACTGAAAAAATAGAAGAAACTAATATGATAAATGCAAAAGATAATCATCATTTAGATTCTATATGGGGATGGGGAGACAAAGATATGAAGCAAACCGAAGCCAATGAAATAAGGAAGTTTAACAGAATTAGAGCGTAGTTTTACTATAGAATATACCGTTAATTATATATTTATACCATTGCTGTATACGATATGTGATAAATACAATGTGTCAGATTAAGTAAAATTTTATTACTGATAAAATAATTTTATTATTAGTGTATAACAATTTTCTCATTAATACATATTATTATTTGTTTTATATTTTTAAGAATATTTAACATAAAATAAACCGTTACATTGTGCCAACTTACTACTACAAATATTGTGTCATTGTCATCACAGCCTTCGCGTGATCTTGGCAGCCATGGTAAACGATTAAGGCGCTATTCTCACTATAAAGGTGCGTCCAGACCTGACGAGACGAAAGCGAGACAAGAGCGAGGCAAGAGCGAGATAATAGCGAGACAAGAGCCAGACGAGGGCAAGACGAGAGCGATACATTTTCTATACATTTTTTGAGGCAAGCCTGCCACGAGACAAGCCAGTCAGATCATAGTGAAAGGAACCCAAACACATTAAATTATAATTGAATATAAAAAACGATGGCCAAATAATGTTACACATACAGTAATAAATTTCTGTATCTTTAACATGGTATTTGGTTCGTCGTATTTTATTTAACGTCGGATTTTTTCCCTTTTGGTTGTTTTTACCTTTAACTCTTGACTTGCTTCGAGACACGATATCTTTTACAAAATACGTTTTTTAAGTTTTTTTAGAACAAAATGTGAAATAGAAAAGTTATAGGGAGGGTTAAGAAGCACATTTTAAAATTACTGTAAAGTATACAAGGTACTTCAAAATAGTGTTGCGGATATACCTAACATATTTTTTAATGGCAAACCCTATTCTTTTATTTTGTTATATAGATTCTACGTACAAATCTGTAACTTTTTTGCATAATGTTATATATCTAAAATTAATAGATATTGTAATAATTCAATTAGTTTAAAGGAATCTTATATTTCGGTACGGTAAAATCGAGGGTAAAATTTTTCAGTGACGCAAAATTTATAAATTCTATCAGAAAAAATGTTAATACATACGGTGGGAGATTATTTAATTTTAAATAGTCAAAATCGATAAATCAGAGCTAATATCTCGCAGTCGAGAGAGCCAATTAAAAAACAATCGACGATCTTAAAGCGCTCTGGTTCCTCTGCGACATCCAGATCCTCTCGCTCTATGCCCTCGCAGTTCTTGAGTCTACACCCAACAATACCGTAGTATGACGCTTAAGTATCTGTTCGTTCTTCTGGAAATTTTCCGTACCGACAAACCTACCTCGCGCAACCCAACCATAATTCGACCTTTTTTAAAGTCACTTAAGTCAGTGTATCGTGTAATTCTGTAATTCTACCCACTTTAAGCATTACGACTGCTTCACAAAAAAATCTTTGCAACAAACCTTGCTAACTCTACGGTTAGAGTGTGACCATAAATTCGCGAGAATCGAATGTGTTATGCCAGTCAACGATCAATGCACCTACTAAAGTGTCAAAGAGATAAGCCTGAAAGTATAATCACTTTTTATTCAAGGCAAGATAAGGCAGCCAGCAAAAATTATCGAATTTTAACAAACATAATATATAGGTGTTCTCCTTTTTTGTCACTTAACATATCTTAAATTAAGACTATTTTATTCTGTTAACGGTTCGATCATTTATTTGATCCATATCACAATGAAAATTAAAGAAACTCAAAGAAGCGACAGCCATTATTATAATCAGCTTTAAAGATTTCCTACTGCTAAGGATCACTTCGGCATTCGAATTCCTAAGTAGCTGGGATCGATATGAAGTAATAGTACGGTGGTAATAATACCTACCCCCTACCTGTAGTACCACCGTATTGTTGGCACGTTATGAATTTGTTTATGATAGATTAAAGTCTGTTTGATAGGATTACAAAAACTCGGAATAGGGTTCATTCCGTTCATTCTACCTTCTTTTACTCTTTTTCGTCTGTCGCGAACAGATGTAACTCGTAACGAAAAATAAGATAAATTAAGACATATGACCGAAAAAAGGAAATTTGTAAAGTTACTTTCAATTAATTAAAAATATAATCCCAATTAGAATTATACAGGGTGCTACAAATTCGAAGTACCAGCATTGGTATCTCGGTAACCGTAATAGATACAAACATGGTTAAATTGCGGCAAAGTTGCGCTTTGGGATGTTCATCAAGATACCATCAAAAAAATTTAAAAATTTCAAGGTGTGCTGAGTTTTTTGAAAAAAAACGGATTTATTTGAAATTCAATTTTATTTTTTTCTGTCGTTAGTTTTTAGAAAATCAAAAAACTAATTGCACATTCTCATAGCCACCTTATTAGGGCTATTAACAGTATTTTTCGATTTTTAAATTAACTGATAATTTGTAAGATACAGAGGTCAACTTAATTTTTTTTAAATACGGACCTTCATATTTTATTTCAGATTTTAAAAGGACTCGGTCTCCTGAGTACAACGATATGTCTGGCCATCCGAAGGTGAACGAAGTTGGCCTTCGTATCTCACAACCCATACAGCCACGGTACGTACTATGTACGTACCTACGTAATGTTGGGACGAACGTCAGGTCCCTGGTACGTACAAGTACGTACAGGTATGTACTATGTACGTACTAGAGACGTACATTTTCCAACGTTTTGTACGTCCCCGGTACGTCCCTGGGATGTGGTAAAGTACGTACTATGTACGTTGCATGTACGTACATTCCAGGTACGTACATTTTATGTTTTGTTCCGGACCAAAACTGGATGTAAAATGATCGAAAGTACGTACGATGTACGTATTATGGACGTACATTTTTCAACGACGTATACGACCTAGGAATTTAATTAGAAATAATTCAATGGAAGTCAGCTTAAAATATTTATTAATATAAAAACTCAGGTACAGGGTCATCCTTTATGTCTTGATACACCCGTGAGTCTGGCTTCGGTCCGGCAACTACACCCTTAGCGCACTCTGTCTTTTATTGGATGTTGATAGATATTTCATTTTTTACGAACTGCTTCTAACTGTACAAAAGAAAACTAAGTATTCAACATCTAATCCTTGCCTCTGTTTTGAAAAATTGAATGAGCTGATTCTCAATCATTCGAGGTTGTGACTGTGCTAGGTGAAATAGTCACATTAGATGTAGTGTCATGTAATTGGATCTGATGATTCCCACTTTTAAGATACACAACATAAGTTACCTCGAGGGTTATCTGTTTCAGTTTCACAATGTTAAGATGTGTAAGAGAATCTTCAGACTGTAAATCAAGAACTGAAACATCTGATGTGCTATGTTGATCATTACAAGATTGAAGGAAAGATGCCTGATTAAATGAAGCAGGCTGTCTATTTTGATTAGGGTATGGAGCCTCTTGAAGAGCTCTTTCAAACCGCTTAATTTGAACATTTGCCCTTTTGTAATATTTGCTAGAAGTATCTTTGCGCCACATTATATTATTAAATTTTACCTTGAAACAACGAGCAACGAAGACAACGACAAAAGAAAACAAGCCGGAAGCCGAACAACGAACAACCTACGGCCACCATGACACTCACTCACACAATCGAAAACTGGGTCGGAGTAGGTGCGCACTCAGTGTATTGTTGTTTTTATTTTTTAACGTTGATTAATAAAAGCAAATACGTTTAAATAAAATATACGACGGCCTCCCCATAAGAGCAATGAGAGGATTTACGTCCCAGTATTGAAGGACAGAAAATCGAGTCGAATGGTTTCAAGACATAAGTTCATCCTTGTTTAGTCAAACCTCATACAACACAAGGATAGACTTATGTAGGAAATGCATTGAAATTTTATAGTCATCCTTCAACATCGAGACAGGAATTTAAGCGATACCCTTCGTATATTTTATTTTAAACGTATTTGAATAAAAGATGGAAATACACTGAGTGCGCACGTGCGCACTAGCTCTGCCAATCGAAAACGCCATTAGAAAACGCCCGACTTCCGATTCCGACAAGACTCGAGTGTGAACGAATAAATTAGCGGGAAATTTAAACATAGGAGTGCATAATTTTCCTGTTAGGCTTGATTGCATAATATATTGCATTTTTAACCCATCAGATTTCTTCAAAGGCTGTCACGCATTATGGTCATTGGATAATTTAGGAAATCATTTTTTATAGCGGTCGAGTTAGATTTATTAATAAAAGAATTAGAGGTAGGTTAGAGTGACTTGAATTAACGTTAGCCTAGAAAAGGTCCACTGATCCAGTCCATTCATTATTATTAGGTATATCTGACCAAAATAATCCAGTCATGATATTAAAATTAAATAACATTTTGTAATGCGTTGTCAAAAGTTTTCAAGATACGTACGTAGTACGTACTCGCATGTACGTCCGTAGTGAAGTCCTACTATGTACTTATAAATAGTATATACATGGGGCACGTACTATGTTCGTACACTTTTGTACGTACATAGTACATCCCCAATTGGTCCCGGGACGTACAAATGGACATAAAATATACGTCCCTGGGACGAAGTGTGCTGTATGGGAAATTATCACCTAATTTGAAGACCTAAAAATACTATCAGATAGCTCTAATAAAGTGGCTATGAGAATGTGTAATTATTTTTTTTATTTTCTCAAAAGTAACGACAGGGAAACATAAAATTGATCAAGAAAATCCGTTTTTTTCCAAAAAACTCAACAATTCTTGAAATTTTTAAAACTTTTGATGGCATCTTGGGGAACATCCCAATACTTTTTCGTATTCTCGAATTTGTAGCACCCCGTATAGTCTGCAAAGAAATAGAATTACCTAACCTAACACATGGGAATATAGTAATTTTAATATTAAAATACTTTTATTAAAGTACTTCTTATTGTTTAAGCAAAAATATTTCTAAAGTAAACAGATTTTACGAATTTTAAGGGAAAAAAATAGAAAAATATAATTATCTTACAAATGTATGTAGTTTAATTTAAATTCTAAGACCTCTTTCAGACGAGGAGGACGCTGTATCCCAGACGCGCGTATCTCAGATACAGAAAAAGCATGTAGTTAAATTGTAGTGATGGATTGTTATTTAACTATCTGTTATTTTATAACAATTATTTAGAAATAACATAACGCAACCGTTACTACTTTTAAAAAATAACAGATATAAAATAACGATACGCAGATATCG